TTGTACTGTGAGGTAGGATAACCTCAAACCATGATCAATGCAATCAATGCAGATTGTATTTCATTTAAACTCATCAAAAAAACCAGTTAGCCAATCCATGAGGATAATTCATAGTCAGCTGTAGGGAGCCCAGCAGGCCAGCTTTGGCTATTCAATCTTTGATAGGTCCCTTTGCATGATGACTGACTACCATTGAGACCAGGTTTAGATAACTCAGTCTTACCTTTTATGTTTTAGTCATGGATCCTATGGTCATATCAGGATTATCCTTTGAGAGCTAGATAAAACCAAGAGACCTGGTGCTATTAGGGTGCCATAAGTATCATATCTACTTGTATGAATTTTGCTTAGAACTATTGAGTTATTTGCAGATTTAAACTTTGAATCAAGAAGAGTTCATGGATGTTTTGGCTCTGTCAACACTGGTTGCTAATCCCTGTGGTTAGGTTGGCTGGTGTAGAGGATCATTGAGTGTTGGGATCTAGAGGTGCTATCATCATAAAGGCTGGTAAGTGTGTATGTATCAGCAGGCCTGAGGTAAGGTTCAGAATTAGATGGCTGTTAGGAGGGTAGGCTGGTGGATCTAGTTTGTTCAGTTTGACTTTGGTTTTTTTAGTGTGTAGGTTAAGCTGAGTTTGTGAACAAGATAAAGCAGTTTTACCTTGCTTATTTCAACTGTTATCTGGTTGTATGGAACTTGTTGTGCTAGTTGGTTTCAATCATTGATGTTGCTGTCATTGACATGTTGCTCATGCTGTTGATTTCTTGTTTACATACATTCTGCCAAAACTTGAAAACTGTCATCAGCTAGTAGTGTAGATCTCATGTTATTGTGTCTTGAATGTGAAAGTATCAACTTCATCAATTTGTGAACATCATCATCATGTTATGGTAAAAGGAACTTTGTTTGAATAGAGGTTTTTATCTGCTGTCACACACTTCAAAAGACCAAAACAGTTGGAAAGCTCTTGTTGCCTAAGTCTTGGGAAATCATTTTTCATCTTTGGAACATGTTTTGATGTGCATTTGAATATGGTGTGTATGCTTGCTTTCAGCTGTTTGTGCACAGGATTGGATTTCATGTTCATACCAAAGTCACTCAAGCCAATCACACACCATTTTTTGCAGAAGATGGATTTCCACTAAAATCATTTTTGAAACACTTCACATTCACTGTTTCAAAATTGTTGACATCATCACTTTGGCCTCAAAGTAGCTGTCTCAAGATTTCATGCTTCAAAACACACTTTTCACATACACATCAAGCAACTCCCATACCATTTTTTCCACACAAGTTGTTTTGCATCAAAATTCATGTTGGAACACCTCATACTCATCATTTAAAATGTGTTTGCATAATCATTTGGTAGAAAAACTAATTGTCATATACTTCCCATTTTCAAAGTACATTTGTTCACTAAACTTGCATTTTGTAAGCAATCTTCACAACTGTTAGCATTTGGACATGTTTGAGTGGTTAGAAACATTCCACATCAATTATATGGTCTGTATGTATGTTTGGTGTTGTTTGGAAATGTTTAACATAAGCTGCACACATCAAAATGCATTTTTTAAGTACCACATTAGCATGAACATGTCATTTTACATTTTTGTTGGGTTTTAATTACACTAACTGTTGAATCCCCTCAAATACATCATTTGAAACATATCCATGTTCTTTCTTGAGTAAAACAACACTTGGTTTGAGAGGTGAGGTTCAAAATGCATCACATGACATACAAATGCAACAGCTGTCAGGTTTTACATTAGGAAGAGAATTTTGAAAAATGGCCACCACCATCATCTTCCTTGTTTGATTCTACCCCATTTCCATATAAAATTTGTTTCGTTTCGATAAGCGGTTAGAAAGTTACGGCATAAAACGTATTTGGTTTATTTATGTATTTTTGCCCAGCCATGAACTCATGTTACCCTTATTAATTATTAGGGGTGGCTTCATCAATGGATGTATAGCCACCCCAGTGTTATGACCATGCGCCTTGTCCTGAGTTCGGCCCCTGAGGAGGGCAACTCTTTTATTCTTTTTTTGTTATTTTTCATGTAAACTTCAAAATTTTGTATCTCACTCGTTTTTTATCGTTTTTCGTCCGTTCTTTTTCCATTGTGTTCATATTTATGTCTACTTTCATGCCATGCTTTTATTTTTTATGTTTTCATATTTTATCACTTACCTTGATTATGTGCAAGTTGTGCGCGTTTTCGCGATCGTTTGTATAGTTGCAGATGAATTTCTAAATGTTTCCTTTCAATATTTTTCTTGAAACTTGTTTGAATCCATGTCCATACATGTTAGTCAACATGCTAGGATTTATTTCTCGGTGGTTACCATTTTTCATCTGTTAATTTTCGTCAAGTGCGAACTATTGTCACAATATCGATTATTTCATCTGTTAAACTATTATCCTCATGTGCTTATCCTCATCATTTATTTATTTGATTGACATCATGAATATATTCCCATCTCATCTTGTTAGCTTGTTAGCTTTTTCTTTTCTTTTTCCCCAAGCGACGAAACTCGTTAGTTCTCGTCCAAGTCGTCTCCCCCGTTTTCCCTCCAAAGGAAGGTATGTCCACTTGACCCTCAATGTCATGGACAATCAAATAAACCCTCTCTTGACTTTGTTAAGTCACCTTACCCCTAGCTTAGAAACCTTTAGACTTTGCTTTGAGTCTAAGAAACCCACCTGTATTAGGAGCGTTCTTCAACTAGAACCCTAGGAAAGAGTTCGTCAACTCTGCGTAAGAATCATCGTCATGATTTCTTACTTCCCCCCTTTATTACAACTTAGATTAGGGAGTCAAACATTGTCATGTTTGTTTTCCCCTTGAACCTTGATCGTCATCAAGTGTTCTTTTCCCTTGTGAGGTGAACTACGATTGCTCTGATTCTATCCTAGTCAGAATACGTAGGCAGAAGATGCGACGTCTTTGCGAGCAAACTTAGAAAATCACTTAGGACTTTATTTATTTTTATCTTATCCCTTAACCATAGTACATATTTCACACTTAGCAAGCAATCAAACAAAAGGTTCCTGTAGAGTACTACAGATATTTAGGGTGCTAACACCTTTCCTAGGTATAACCAACCCCCGATCCCCGAATCTCTTAAGCGTTGTCGTTACATCGCGAAAAAGGTTTTTCTCTCTTTAGACCTATCCTTTGGATAAAATAAATTCCGGTTGTAAAAGAAATAAGATTCAAGTTAATTAATAGCTTGATATCCAATTTTCACCGCAACAAGAATATATTCTACTCTTTCTGAGAGTGTATTTTCGTTATAATAAAAATAGCGGGTAAACAATGCAAAGCAAAAATTTAAAATATGCACACATATAATCACATAGGAATTTAGAAAAGGGAAAAAACAAGCAGACATCATTGAATCAAATTATACATAATGTAGAAAATTTTAAGAATTCAAAAACAGAAAAACAAACACACTAAGAAAACTAAGATACACAAATAAGAATATTATTTATCATGAGTATTATTATTTCTTATGACGATTTTCTTAATCTTTCCAATATATTTATCATGCCATGTATGGATAAACTATTTTGCTGACAAATCTCCTTGATAATTGTTTTTGTTGAGTTGTCAGATTCTTCCAAGTGATCTTCTTCATCAGTCGAGTTGTAGCTTAATCATCCATGTTAAATGTAAATATTCATATTTTTGAGTGAATAGTAATTGATCTTATTAATTGATGACTCCATTTCTTCCCCTGTAATTTTAATATTAAATGCGTCCAAAAAATTTGTGATTAACCCTCCATGTGGGAGTCCAGCTTCTTGAATTTCTTTATAGTGTATCATATGAAGAAATATGACTTCGAAATATGACTTCTATTCAATTAGTTTAAAATTTTTCTAATAAAGTTAAAAGAGGAACAATGTCATCACGGTTAACACGAACCATTGGTTTTATAGAGCTTGCCTTAATGTGAAATTTTTTATTCTCCATAGAATTCATAACTTTCTATACGATTTTGAACGAAGGTTAAATCTTACTTATCATATTAGAAAAAATTTAAATTTTACATTGGTTAAAGATATAATTTACAAAAGATTTATATAGAATAACACCCCTCACCTTACCAATCAGTTTTGTAGGGTTGAATTAGGTCAAACTCTAATTCTATCAAGATATCAAGACAATAATGTTAGCATGAGAGAGTGTATTGAAAAAAAATCAAAGCTCACATTGATTAAAAATGCAATTTACAAAGTGTTTATATAGAGTGACACACCTCAACTTACTAACAAGTTTCGTAGGATTGAGTAGCCCAACCACACTATCTTAAATTTTTTTTCTTAAGTTCTCTTTACTATGTCTTTTAAATAAAGACATTTTAATTAAGCGTCTTTAAATTAAAAGCATTTTGATAAAGTCATGATGATCCTTATGAAGAAAGATAAAGACTCACACAAGAAGGCAAAGAGAAAAATATAGTTATCTATTTATACCTGCACTTCAAAAATCACGTAGCCGACCTTTGAACGGCCGATATTACGCCTAAGCCCAGTGATGAATCATATCTGATTTTCTAACTTGAATCTAGTGATAAAAAAATAAATAAAACTAAAATCCAATGTCAGGATTATTGAATCCAATGTCAGGACTATTTGACATTACACATCCAATAGGCTTGCAATATTCGATGATAGGTCATGATAACACTAACTCACAAGAACAAAAGTATAGTACTATAATTCAAAGCACTATGATTAATAAAAAGAAGGCTATATTGTTTCAAAATTCAACTTACATTGACCAGTTTCAAGTCACTGATACGGTACACTACATAACTTAATTTTTTTTAACTACTGATATGCTCTATACAGTAAAATATAAATGAATCAAAATTGCACATGATTTGCTAACAAGCTAATCGAAATTAGAGCTAAATTGAGTCCGTCACTCAGACAGAAGGTACAATGCATTCAAAACAGTGCAGTCCATCAAACTCTGGCGCAAACCTCGTTCTCAAACGGGTCGGGTTTTTCTTATCCCCACCGGGCATTAATGTTTTCAGATCATCTTTCACAGTGGTTTTTGATTCAGCGGCCACGGGTGAAGAAGTTGCTTCCTTACAGGACTTTAGATTTCCATCCTTTACCACTGGGTCAAAACCAAAAGAAAAATTCCACTTCTTGCCCTGCGAGATATCGAAGTGGCTGAACATAGACATAAACATGCTTGTTGAGTCGTGTGGATTTGGGAAAATCGAGAAAGGATTTGGTTGTTTTATTTGTTGCTCGGAAAAGCTAAATGTATTGTTGGTGTGTTGTATTGGATATACAGCGATGATGAGAAGATTTATATGGAACGGAATAGATGAAGATGGGAAAGTGGAAGAGACGTGGAAGACTGATGTTTGGAATTTTCATGAAGTTTCTACCTTAAGCGGCTTCTGCGTGGACTGTTTCTTGCGCTGACGCGTGGTTAAACCACTTTACGCGTTCAATCTTTTCGTTTTTCTCATTCGTTATGTACTAGGGAAAGCCAATTTTGATTCAATTTTATATTCAACAACTTGTTTTCTAGTTGACAAAGTTCAACAACTTGTTTTCTAGTTGACAAAGTTCAACAACTTTATTGTTAACCCTATCCACTTTTTTCTTTGACAGAATGGCAATCACTTTCCACTAGTTTTAATGCACTTAATAGAATATTTATTTTAGATTTGCTTTTTTTTAGATTTATTTTAGATTTGTTATTCATCCCTTTTACGAATTATTTTTCTAATTTTACTTTCAATAAAACAAAATTATCGTTTAGGTCTTTTAAATTATTTCAAAATATAAGTTAGTCTTTTAATTTTTTTCGTAACACTATTTTTTTATAAAAAATTTTTTTACAATAAATTACAAACTCATATACGATTTGAACTGGTTTTTCGCGTTAATTATGAATATATAATTAATTTTGTATTTGATTGTGTATTTTAGTCAGATCAATGATTTTTTCTTATGTATTTCGTCAATTTTTACCTGATTCTCATGAACCGTAACTTGTTTGATAAATTTAATTGCATATTTGTTATCAGCACACAAAAACCAATTCAAATGGTATATGAATTTGCAATTATTATAACGGAGTTTTTTAAAAAGAGAACAAAACGTTACAAAAAAAAATTAAGGAATTAATTTGATATTTTAAAGTAACTTAAAGGACTAAAACAGTAGTTTTGCCAAAAAAAACTTGTTTCAGTCTTTTTAAAAATTAATTATAAAATTTATATATTAAATTTGATCTTTGTTAATATTAGAGAAGTAAAGATTAATTTTTTGTATATATTATATGGAAAATCTAATATGACTCAATTTGTCGTAAGATAAAAGAACATGAAACAAAAGCAAAATGAAAATAATTGGTTAGAAGCAAAATCAAAAGATCACTTCTTTAAAGGGGTGAAATAAAGGGATCTTTTAATTCATTTTCTTTTCCTTTTAGTGCTCGAGGGATTTAATATATTAGTTTTTAAGATAAAGGAGATTGGTCTTTACTCTAGGTTCATCGAGGCTGATGGTGTCTCATCTCGAGTATGCTGATGATATTTTTTGGTGGTTCACCATATTTTAGAGAATTTGTGGAGTATTAAGACAATTCTCAAAGATTTTGAGTTGGCTTTGGGGTTCCAGATAAATTTCTTCAAGAGTAGTCTTATAGAGGTTAATGTGGATTTTATCTTTCTTTCATCTACTAGAGTGTTCCTTTACTGTGAGATATATTACATTCCCTTTAAGTAATTTGGGTTGTCGGTGGGGGATAATCCTTGAATCAAAGCTATTTGGGATCGTTTAGTTAACTTATTGGAGAAGAGACTCAACTTTTGGAAGCATAAATATCTTAGCTTTGGAGGTAGGGTAGTTCTCTTTAATATTGTGTGTAATGTTATCCTCGTTTTTTTTTTGTCTTTTATAAAGATGTGCATCTTAGTTTAAGAGAAGTTAATGAAGTTATAAAGAAAGTTCCTTTAGAGAGAGTGAAAGGTGCCTCTAAAATATCTTGGATTAAATGAGAAGATTTATGCAAACCAAAGAATAAAGGGGGGTTAGGCATGAAGGACCTCCGGTTGGTTAATCTTGTCCTTTTGGCAAAGTGGAGATGGTGGTTGCTTATAGGGGTCCCAGGTCTTTGGCGGAATATCCATGTAGCCAAATATGGAGTCACATTTGTTTCCTCTCTTCGAGGGGGAAGGACTAAGGGTTCCACCTCTTTCTGGTGGAAAGGGGTGTTTCTTCGGGTGTCTAAAGAGGTTGATAGTTCAGATTAGTTCGTTGATGGTGTTATTAAGAGAGTTGGTCTAGGTTTTCAAACTTCCTTTTAGAAGGACCCTTGGTTTGGAACCATTCCTTTAAAAACCAAGTTCACTAGTTTGTTTTCTAACTCTCTCCAACCAGTAGGTTGGTGGGAGCGATTAATGTGGTGGTTAATGGGTTTGTAACTTAGGAACTTAGACATTGAAGACATTTCTTTCTTAGAGAGTTACTCATCTTTGAGGTGTTGCTTTCTATGCTTCGAATTGCCACTCTTTCTTGAGTAATGATAGGTGGGCTTCGGAACACGCTAGAAAAGATACTTTCTTAGTGACATCTGTTTACCTTGTTCACAGGGATGATTCGATCACTTCTTTGATACCTTTATTTATAGAGAGTCAGATATTCCCCCTCAAATGGATCAGTTATGACCCTTCTAAGATCTTGGTATTTTCTTGACAACTTTTGCAAGATAAACTCCTAACTAAAGAGAATCTATCTAACATATGGGTGATCCTTGATAATAGTTTGATTTCGTGTCCTTTATGTGAGTTTTTGGTTGAGTCAGTTTTCCATCTTTTTGTCACTTGTAAGTTAGCCTTGTCAGTTTGGTACGTAATCTTTAAGTGGTTGGGTGACGGGTTGTCATCCCCAACAACCCTAAGATTCATTTTGAGATTTTTCTTTCTTATGGGGTATGAGTAAGTTTAAGGGAGGTTATCTTTTGATTTGACACTCGGTTGTTTGGTTCATTTGGAAACCCCGCAGTGATGTTATCTTCAAATGGGTCACAAACTTAGCAAAAGATGTTGAGGAAAATAGTTTTTTTTTGTCTTGGAAATGGTTTCTTATTAGATCAGGGGTGAACTCTTGTACATTCACGATTTCAAAACCTATTTAAATTACCCAGACAAAATTAGAGTACTACACTAATAAACTTTATTATGTTAAGAAACACCATAATTACACATGATCTCCTACAATGAGTTATTCCTAACAATATGATGCATAATTTCATAAGCATTCCTCATTTATACAATGTATCTAATAGGAATGGAAATTAAAGATGATTCTTTTGACTCTAACTTACACGTCTAGCAAGAAAACAATGTTCGCCAAGAAGATATTCTTGAACGCGTTAATGTACTTGTTTTTTTAAATATAAATTGATTTTTGTTTTGTATTTTATATTTCTATTCTGGCCATTAGGGGTGGACAACGGGAGGTTCTAGCCGGTTTCGGGCCGTAAACTTCCACCCGCAAGAATCCGTCGGTCGGAAAACCTCAGCCCATCACCGCCCGTCAGAATCTCGGTTTGTTTGGATTGTAGGTTTTGATGGAAGCAGTTTGAACGAATGGGTTAAATTGGGTTAAACAATATGAAAAAAATGTAAATCTCAACTAGAACATTGTTGCATACGACTATAACTAAGTTGAAGTGAGTGGAGAAAAATGGATGAAAATGATAGAGTTGAGACTAGAGTTTATTATCATGAGAAGAAGATATCAAATAAAGGCTAAAACTATACTTTCAGTCGATCATTATTTCAATGTTTGTGGTGATTGAGGAGAGAAAAAAAAGATGAAAAAAAATATATTAAAATTATAATAAAAGTAGAAGTTGCTTTCATAATACGCAAGAGGAGTAAAATAAACCAAGTTTGTTTTTTGTCTATTAAGATAATAAAGAGTTATTAATACTATATTATAATTTGCAAGGAGTGAAATTTTGATAAACTTACTGAAATATTGCAGTATTGTACAAATACATTTATTGATTTGTCTCATCACTATATGTATTTTAATATTATAAGAGAATAAAAAAGTATATCTGATGGACAATAAACGGGCAGTTTGGTTTTTGATGGGTTTGATATTAACATCCGTGTTCGCCCATGTGGACCACAGAGAACTGAAAACAGTAACCCGTTGACCCGGTAACCTGTATCAACTCATCCGATTTACTGTTTTTACATTCAATTCAACCGGTTTCAAATGGGTGTCGGTTCTTTGTCCACCCCTACTGACCATTTGGCTTTAAGTTTATAAGAACCCAAGTCTAAGGAAGTCAACACCACTATTGAGGGTTATATGACCCATATTGAAACTAATGCCCATATTGTTAAAAATTTAGAACAAAACAACCAAGTAGTTAAGTTTGTCGAATAAGAAAAAGGTGTTAGAATTATATCAATAACAATTAATCACATATACATGTTCTATATATTATGTCATATAATTTAATACGCAATAGAATAGATAATACGAACATGTATACAATTACATGATCTATGACATGTTAATATATGAGAGAAGAAATTCCAGGAATACCTAGATCTATTGAGAAAGTTTTTGTTAACGATAATCCTGAAAGCTAGAAGACAAACAACAACACCTGGTGACTTATATGGTTCTTCCTCAATCGATATTCTTAATGCCTTGAATATTCTTCAGATGGGGAAAAGAGAAAAATTGCATGTGTAAGGTATATTGAAGACCATAACTTATATATAAGGTGATTACCAATTAGGGTTCTCATTATTTTGAAATTAATCATCCTAACTTCCACTCATATTTGAGCTCGTATTCAATTAATTGAGTACTAAATAGAAATCTAAATATTCTTTTAAATTTATTTGACCACTTAATCAATTAAGGCTCTTAATTTGATAAATAGCTAATATAATTAAAGTATATGTGTCTACATAGTAATTATTGGAATATAATAATCAAATAATATTTAAATTATAAAATATTCCAACAATCTTCCACTTGCACAATATATTTTTAATAATTATATCATACATCAATAATGGGACCACCACGGTTGTTGCCATTCACGTATAATGTGACAAAACCCCGACGACCACCACATTAATATACTTGATTGTTGTAAATGTGTCTTAAAATCTTTGTTGATGAAGAGAAATAAAAC